AGAGTTTGCCTAAATTAACACTAGAGCGCAGTCGCAATGTCCAAATACCCTGCAACCACCGAATGGTATTTTTAACCTGTTTTCGGATTAATCGAAATGGCAGGTTTACTTTTGGCGGGGAATGGAGGGAAAATTGCTACCTTAATACCTTCAACATTGCGCGAAAGAGTCCAAATTGGGTATTATGATTACTGTACTGCGTTACTTCTTGTGTCCCCGCCGAAGTCGTTCCTATCATCATCATCATTATCGTTGTACAGCCTAATATGATGAAGCGAACTTCACTGATCGTTGTCAAACTCATAATGCGTACAAGATAAGTGAGAATGTGTAAGGAGGACAACGATTGGGCCTATTTTTAAGGATGAAAAAAGAAAGCGAACCTCTACGATTAATACACACTAGTTCAAGCATTCTGGTCTGCTAAGAAATGATCGCCATTGCTGTCGGATCGCAGCCATGACCTTCAGTGTCTCCAACTATGCGATTTCAGAGTCTTTTGGACCCCAACCCGGAAGACGAGAGACACCTTATCTACCTTGATGCTCTGTGCATTTCTTTATGCCTCGTCTCCACGTCATTTGCTGGCAGCCACGTGGCTTTCTCCAGCCTGCAACAGCCACTGAAAACAAGGCGCGCTGCGGTAGGCGACCGTTGGACTTACGTAAAATGTATCCTATCTAACGGGGCCTATTGAGGTGGATTCGATGCGATAGTGAGTTCTTGTCTGATGTATTCCCAAACACCCGACGACTTACTTCTAAGTTACTAACCCGCTCACTTTATCCTACTTGGGCTAGATTACGTAAGCATCGATTGTCGAACACTGCTAAACGACGGGTGTCTTCTACCCGCAAATTCAAGGTCTCAACCGTAAAGTAGAACTGATCGTACGGTGACGCAGTATACGCGACTTTTGAACTTTAGTTACACGTCACATCGTCGCCACAGGTGTTTTAGTCCTGCGTACGCTGCTGGAGCATGGGAAATGTGGGCAGTTATCTCCTTCGATGCGCGACCGTCGTTGGTCACGCAGCTACCTAAATACGAGAAGCAGTCAACTTCAGCTAATTCCTGACTGTCTAGTTTCAGAACAGAACTCGGTGACACCCAGTCTTGTAGCATCACTTTGGACTTTGAAGATGCAAAACACATGCCGAACGGCGCGACAGAACTTGCCAATCTATCAAGTGCTCTTTGTGCAGCCTCCATATATTCGAACAAGCAAACGATGTCGTCAGTGTACTCCAAATTGCACAGCTTTTCTCCAGCTACCCATTCAATACCTAAATTTTGAAGATCATTTAGTGTGTTCTCTAGTATTTCGTCTATGACGAAATTGAACAGGAATGGCGAAAGAAGGCACTCTTCACGAACACCACCGCTAGTTATGAACGACCTACTCAGCTCGCCGTAGACCCCTACGCTACCAGAGGTATGTGAGTACAATTAACTCAGTATGTTCACTTACTTCTGCGGCATTCCTTTGCGAAGGACTGAACCCATAAGGGATTCACGATCAACTGAGTTGAAGGTTCCTTTTAGGTGAAGGAACACGACAACCGTTGGTCGACGGTGCGTATGACGTAGCTCGAGGACTTGACGCAGAGTGAAGATTCGGTCGATACAACTACGGCCTGGTCGAAATACCGCCTGTTGTTCGTGCATGTTTGTCTCCTTAAACCGCGTCAGACGTCGAAGTATAATGGAGGCTAGTAACTTGGTGACGATTGGGATCAAACTTATCCCATAGTGGTTTGCGCAGTCGTTGTGAGATCCGTTCTTAAAAATTGGAACGATCAGTGATTCGCTCCAGGATGATGGAATGCGCTAGTGTAACCAGATGTTACACATTAAATCAGTAATAGAGTCTACAAGGTCATCGCCTCTCATCTTGAAAAGAGTGGGAGGAAGCCCGTCCGGCCCGGCTGCTTTTCCTTTCTTCAGGGCTTGGATGCAGGAACGAACTTCTCCTGCCGTAGGAGGTTCAGATAACATTGACCATGGAGCCTCAGCTACATCGGAGATAACCTGACCAGCTGAACTGTTCGTTGAAGTACTCCACCCACCGGTCAAGCCGTTGT